AGGGGAAAGGACCAGGGTCAGTCAAGAGGCAGAGAGGAAGGAAAGGCTCTTTTGGGGGGTTCTCACTTGAAGGAATGGTCAAGGGAGTTAAGTACACTGANCATGGATGAACTTAGAGAAAATTATGTTAAGTGAAATAAGCCAGGCACAGAAAGGGAAATATCACATGTCCTCATTCTTAAGTGGGAATTTAAAAATAAACAAAGAAAGAAAGATGCACCAATCACAATAATTCTTTGAACTTTCAAAAGGAAAGAACTGAGGCCAGCAGAGGTAGGAAGGGGCAGGGGGAAATGTTAGCGATCAGTTGGTAAAGGGCCACAAGAAATGATTAGATTGTGTAACACTGGACATACCCCAATTTGAGCATCACATAATGCACACAGATATCGATATTCAATGCTCTACTCCCCAGATATGCAGAATCAATTATGTTTCAATTAAAAAAAAAAATTAGAAATGCTAACATCTTTCTCTGAGACTGATGTAACATTAATAACCAATTAGCATAAGAACAGTATAAAAAAAGAAAAAGATCAATCTTATTGTGAACATAAATGCCAAAATCTTAAATTCAGCCAAATCCGAATCAGTGTGATACTTACAAAAACAAAACAAGCAAGCAAAACCAAGTAGACTTTATCAAAGGAATGAAAAAATTTTTTACTATCAGAAAAATTTCTTCTTAATTATAACCGTTAAAGCCAGAGCTGCATAATAGTTACATTGGTAAAAACAGGATAGTTACATCGGTAAAAACAGATTTTATTCAGGAACTATTCCAACAGGATAATTAAGCCCTTGTTCTGTGTTCTTTTGTGTCAGTTGTAGCCACAAGGGGAGACAGAGGAGAGGCACAGGGTAATCAAGTTTATTATATATACCGAAGTTTATTGGTACTGGTCCTAAAAACAGGAGGTGTGGCATGGCATGCCACAGGACACATGGGAAAGGACCAGGGTCAGTCAAGAGGCAGAGAGGAGGGAAAGGCACTTTTGGAGGTTTCTCACTGGAAGGAATGGTCAAGGGAGTTAAGTACACTGAGTAAGTTTAGGATTGGACAGTTTGGATTATTTCAGTGGGTTCTAAACTATAGTGAGGTCTCTGGTTGCCTGGGATGATTAAGGCAGAGGAATATTGCCTCCTGGGGTTTATGGCCAGATAAAGGAGATAATGCATCCCTGGACTGGTTAGTTTGCATATCAAAGGTGCACTCCCAACTGAGCCTTTTGCTTTCTCAGAATTGGCCAGGAAGGGCAGTCTCTCTCCAGCGAGAAAGATTTTTAGATGTCAAAACATCATAATGTACAGAAGATAAAAAATATGAACTATACAGTAATTGGACAAGTTAAAGGGCAAAACCACATGATTATCTAAATTGAAATGAATATTATAATATTTAAAAAATACCATTGAATTATATTTGATCTTCATTCATGGCCAGATTATGTAGCAAACTGAAATGGTGCAGCCTTTATGGAAAATGGAATGGAGGTTTTTCAAACAATTACAGATACATCTACCATGTGATCCAGTTATTCCACTGCTGGATATGTACCCAGAGGAATGGAAGTCATCATGTTGAAGGGATACCCATACTCCCACGTTTATTGCTGTACACTATTTACAATAGCCAAGAATTGGAACCAGTCTAAATACCCATCATCAGATGAGTGGATAAGGAAACTGATATATCTACACAATGGAATATTACTCTGCTATTAGAAAAAAAAAATGAAATAGTATCATTCGCAGCAACATGGATGGACTTAGAGAAAATTATATTAAGTGAAATAAGCCGGCACAGAAGAGAAATACTGCATGTTCTCACTTATTTGTGGGAGCTAATAAAAATAAGTAAATATACAAATGAACGGGGACTGGGGGTGGGTGGAGAAGAAGACACAACAATCACAGTTCCTTGATTTTGTTAAGACAAGTGAACAGATATGTTGATGAGGGAGGAAGAGGAAGAATTGGTAAAGGGACACGAAAATCAACTGTATTGTATATTGATAAATTAACATTTAAAAAAATAAAATAAATTATTTAACAAACTAAGAGTAAAAGGAACTGACTTAACTCAAAAAGAGACATTTATTTAAAAGTCCACAAGACGCTTAATGTCAATGTTAAGATTTGAGATTTTTTCTGTTATGTCAATGTTAAGATTTGAGAAGTTTTCTGTTCATCATCATCCAGTGTTGCCTGCTGGCAGGACTTGTCTTCAAGATATACTGGTCCTATTTATTGAATTAAGACAACAAGTGTGTTAGAAATATAGAAAGGAAGAGGTAAACCTTTACATGTAGAGGATATGGTTATCTACAAGAAAATATATAAACTGTTACACCTTCTTAGTGAGCTTATTTTGGTTGCTGGTTACAAGATCAAGACATAAAAATCAGTAGTGTTCCTGCATCAGGAGTAGCCAGCTAGAGAATTTATTTGAAAACAAATCTCATTCATAATAGCAACAAAAACTGTTAAGGGATCTGTGAATTAATGTAACAAAAGATGTTTAAGACCTTTGTAGAGATCATTATAAAACAAAAAACAGCTGAATAAAGATATCCTGAATTTCATTGATTTTCAGATGTGCCTTTTGTCACATTATGCTATCTTTGAGATGGGATGTGTCTTAACAGTTGATGCTTCCATAATGTGTGTGTGTGTGTGTGTGTGTGTGTGTGTGTGTGTATGTGTTGTTTCCTTAGTGACACATAAGATAAAGGTGTTGTTTAGTAAACAGTGTCTTAGTATATTTAATGAACTATACTATATACAAGGGAAAATTCAGTATCATAAAGGAGCTGTTCTAGTTGTAGTCTGAAAATGCAATTTGATCTTAATTTCAGTATGAGTTTTGTCAGAATTCAATAAAATTCCAGTATTAATATGAAAGAGCAAGAAGCCGCAAGTAGCCAAAGAATTATAAAGGTGGAGCTCTTGTCATACCTTATATCGAGACGTAGAGAATAAAAAGGCCAGGAACAGACCCCCAGGCATAAGTGAAGACTTGACAAATATGGAGAAGGATGGACTTTTCAACAAATATTGACAGTTACACATGTGGCAAATAAAACAAGCTTTTCCTCTTACTCTGTACATAAAAATCAATTGTAGGTGGATATAAACACTTAAATATGTAGAGCAAAATTTGGAACTTTTAGGGGAGAATATCTTTGATATGGGCAATGGAAGGAACAGCTGTTATTTAAAAGATAGAAACCCAATTGTAGTGGGTTTGATGAGTATCTATTTGGCATTTGATAGTAAATATTGACAGTTATACATGTGGCAAATAAAACAAGCTTTTCCTCTTACTCTGTACATAAAAATCAATTGTAGGTGGATATAAACACTTAAATATGTAGAGCAAAATTTGGAATTTTTAGGGGAGAATATCTTTGATATGGGCAATGGAAGGAGCAGCTGTTATTTAAAAGATAGAAACCCAATTGTAGTGGGTTTGATGAGTATCATCTATTTGGCATTTGATAGTGTATTAGTTTGCTAAGGCTGCCATAATAAAATCCCACTGACTGGAAGACTTAAACAACAGAAATGTATTTTCTTATAGTTGTGGAGGTTAGAAGTCCAAGATCTAGGTATTGGCAGGTCTGATATCTCCTAAGGTCTCTCTCCTCAGCTTGTAGATGGCTGCCTTCTCACTGTGTCCTCACATGGACTTAATCTACAGTGTGTATATTCCTGGTGTCTCTACCTCTTTTAAAGATACCAGTCATGTTAGATTAGGGCCCCACCCTAAAGGCCTCATTCTAATTTTATCATCTCTTTAAGGACCTTATGTCTGAATGTGGTTAAGTTCTGAGGTACTGGGGGTTGGGCCTGCAACATATAAACTTGGGGGTGGAGGCATACACAATTCAGCCTGTGACAGATCACTTTACAAAGGTGCTTCATGGTCCTTATAATACTCCGTGAAGCAAATAGTGGTAGATATTATTATTACAGCTTTACACATAACCAGACTCAGAGTCATATAATTAGTGTCAGACTAGGACTTCAAACTAATTTTCTTGAATATAAAATCAGTAGACTTAACTACCAGGCTTATTTTACTAAAGTTAGATTTTCACTTTTTTTTTTTGTTTGTTTTTTAAAGATGACTAGTAAGGGGATCTTAACCCTTGACTTGGTGTTGTCAGCACCACGCTCTCCAAGTGAGCTAACCAGCCATCCCTATATAGGGATCCGAACCCGTGGCCTTGGTGTTATCAGCACCACACTCTCCCAAGTGATCCACTGGCAGCCCTTAGATTTCACTTTTTACCACTGTCATACCTTAAGTAGTGATTCGTAAATTGATATAAGATAAGATTTATGTGCATGTGTGTGAAATCTTTCTGTTATCTAGAACGCAATCTGAGATGCTTGTTTTTAAAGGCTTTCTTGTTTATTTTTTGTTTGTTTTTGGTGGCTGGACTGCACTGGGATCCAAACTCTTGACCTTGGTGTTATCAACACCAGCTCTGACCAACTGAGCTAACTGGCCAGCTGCCAAAAAATAAAAAATAAAGGTTATTAACCTACAGGATATATTTATTAATATGCATAATAGCTTCACTCCAGCAGTCTGAAAATATATTTGTAGTTCCTTAAAATTTGAGTTATCCTAAATTATGAGGAGAGAAAAATGCCTTCAAATTAAGTAAACTTATTTAATGACTTTACTGTTAGAATGAAAGTAAATAAACCTAGATTCTTTGAAAATTCTTAATTCTCAAACTCACTTTGAAACAGTTGTTTTTTGTTATCTCATTTTTCTTTTCAGTATACAACCAGAATAATTTCTAATTTTCTTTTGGGAATTTTGTGGGCTGACAGTAACACTCAGTTGGTTAGACCGTGGTGCTCAGCACCAAGGTCTGGGGTTCAATCCCTGTACCAGCTAGCCAAAAAAAAAAAAAAAAAGAATTTCAAGGTGCCAGTGAATAGTAATTTTGTTTGTTCATATAATTTTTTTCCTCACACAGTTGCGGTCTTGTAGTAAGAGTGAGTTGATATCTAAGAGCTCAGAAATCCTCATGATGTTTCAGCAAGTTCATCGAAAGCCGATGGCATCCTTTGTTACCACTCCTGTTCCACCAGACTTTACCAGGTATGACACATTTTTATTTTTGTGCTATTTTTACACTTAAAATTTTTTATTTACATTTGAAGTTTATGTGCAAATGCAGATACTTGTTTCAAAAGAATAAGTTATTTTTCTTAACTCCATCTCTTTATGGTGCTGTTTATAGTGTTGTGGTGTTGTGAGCTCTATTGTTTGCATGTAAATATGGTCTAAAAAAAAGCATGGTGGGGCCGGCCCGGTGGCGCAGTGCTGTAGTGCGCCGCTTGGGAAGTGCGGCGGCGCTCCCGCCGAGGGTTCGGATCCCACATACAGACCGGATCCTGCTCACCGGCTGAGCGAGGCGCGGGAGCAACACCGAGGGTTGCGATCCCGATGCCGGTCCCGGTCTCGTACGGGGGCGACACTGAGGGTTGCGATCTGTTGCCGGACACGGAAAAATACAAAAAGCAAAAAAAAAAAAAAAAGCATGGTGGACTCAGTCACACTTTTGACTGTAAAGAGAAAATGTTAGTGAATTAGGGTTGGCATTTTTCCTGGAGCTCCATCTTCCATAGTGTAGAAAAAATAATGATTCCATTACCTTTATCAAGTGTCTATTCATTCTTTTATTTACCTTTTGAATTAATTAATTTTTTTTTTTTTTAAGATGCCTGGTAAGGGGATCTTAACCCTTGGCTTGGTGTTGTCAGAACCACACTCAGCCAAAGAGGGATCCGGCCATCCCTATATAGGTTTCCGAACCCGTGGCCTTGGTGTTATCAGCACCGCACTCTCCCGAGTGAGCCACTGACTGGCCCTGAATTAATTTATATCTTGTTACACAAAACTCAGAAATGGATGAGAAACCAAAAGAATTTGAAGGTGACCTGATATTATCTTCAGATACTCGAAGATAGTGGGAGAAAACAGTTACTGCAAAAATTTGCAGTCTTTTTAGTTTTCATCTTGGGCTGAGTCTTAGAATTCTTCTCAACAGAATATTCTTTTTAGCATATTGAGAATTACACTAGGGTTGACTGGTTGGCTCAGTTAGAGCACAGTAGTTGTAGGGCCCCATAAAACCCCAAAGGAGACATTCCCTAAAACATGGCGCCTTTCCTGCTTCTCTTCCGGGTCCTAACATTCCCGCCGGCACCATAGTTGGCCTATCAAAATCATCACCCGCCCTTCCGACCAATCAGCCACTGCCCCGTGTACTAACCACCCTCTCCCGGAACTCAGCTCTCTGTAAATGTATGCTTTCCCCTCAAATAAAGCAGAACTTCTCCGGTGAACTGTCAGCTCGGGTCCTGTCGTTCTTTCATTGGTGCCAAAACCCAGGAGGAGCTCACCCCTTACCCGAGGGGACTCCTTCTCGGACCTCCTTCACTCTCTCAGCGGTTCCTGCTGCTGACGCTTCGCCCTGATCCATTTTCTCCGGCGCTGGCTTTCCACACCCACTACTGGCTCATCCAAACGTAAGTCTCCCTTTAGAGGTGCCATTTTTAAGTAGGACTACCCCTCCGGCGTCTAGTCCTAACAGGGGCAGTACGCCCCACTACGGCCTTCAGGGCCTCAGTGGACCCCTAAATACTCCCTCGTCACACCAGACCGTCCACATTCTACTCCTCTCCCAACCCAAAGTTAAAGGTGATCCTTGTAGGGCGAAGCTCCCATTCTCTCGCTTTCTCTTTCAATTTACTGTTTCTGTTTCTCCGAGCCTAGGGCTCCCAAAAATCCCAGCGCCAGGTTCCTTCGAGCTTCCGGGCACTCGCCCTTGCCAAGGTGATGGAAGGTTAAGTGACGACTTATACCTTCCTCCCNTACCTTTATCAAGTGTCTATTCATTCTTTTATTTACCTTTTGAATTAATTAATTTTTTTTTAAAGATAACTGGTAAGGGGATCTTAACCCTTGGCTTGGTGTTGTCAGAACCATGTTCAGCCAATGAGGGAACCGGCCATCCCTATATAAGATCCAAACCCATGGCCTTAGTGTTATCAGTACCGCACTCTCCCGAGTGAGCCACCGGCTGGCCCTGAATTAATTTATATCTTGTTACACAAAACTCAGAAATGGATGAGATAGCAAAAGGATTTGAAGGTGACCCGATGTTATCTTCAGATACTCAAAGATAGTGGGAGAAAACAGTTATTGCAAAAAGTTGCAGTCGTTTTAGTTTTCATCTTGGGCTGAATCTTAGAATTCTTCTCAACAGTATATTCTTTTGAGCGTATTTAGAATTACACTAGGGTTGACTGGTTGGCTCAGTTGGTTAGA